GTTGTTCCGTGAAAGCGAAATCCCAGTAACGACGGATAACTAGCTAGTCCGACGCTGGCCGAGTCTAGTTTATTATCTTATTACCGTCGACCTCTATCATTATTGGACAAAAATACATTTTATCCTCCCTCAAGGGCTGTGCCGACCTACTATTATGACTAGCAGCAAATATATAAACACTATTACATTTTACGTCTCTATCACGGCCTTGAGGTTTATCGGTGTCTTCGCCCAAAGGGAGAGTTTCGCGGCACTTCCTGGCGGCAGAAGATTGTGCTGATAATTTGTGGAGAACACTCTTACGTTGAAGACTTAAGAAGACAAACAACTGTTCTAACATGATCACGATCCCAAATATCACCATTATGATTTTTATTGATAATTTAGATTACCTTTTAAAGAGAAGATTTTTCTATCACATCTTGACATATTTTTCCCGTGCACCAAGTAAAGTACCAATTTCTCATATTTATCTAAACATTTAATTACATACTAGTTTATGTCATACTTCAAATAGTGAAAAATATTTTTTTCGTTCTACAGAAGAAGTAGGCCTACTGACAAATTCGTCAGACCAATTTGTCAGAGAAGAGACGAGTGTAAACTGACCAAATAAATTAGTAAAACCGGAAAATAGATTCAAACCTCTCTATTCCTCTCCTTTAGGAAAAAATAACAATACAACAAATCATTCGTTTATAAGGCACTCATCAATGTGAAGAAAATACGTAATAGACAATGTAAATCTTTTAACACAATTTTTAAACAATAATGCTTACTAGTTATAAAATCCCGTACCTAATCATGTAAACGTAGTTTTACTGTAATATTTTAAGCAGATGTTACCTAAAACAGCAGTGTAAACAGCAAGGAGGTGTACTCCATCATTTCAAGAACGTTGTGAAAGTCCAATAAGAAAATGAATTCCGTTATCTATCTGGAGCCGTTCAAGCACCTTCGACACGCAAACTCCCTCTAGATCAATCCACTTTTACTCTAGTAACCTAGAAAGTGTGTTATCTCTGACAAAAAGCGTCGGTGTCGCCTGTAGATGTATTAATGAGGTGGTGAGACAGGTGGAAACTCTCACTGGAGCGCCATTAGGAAGGGTTGTGTCAAAGATACTATCATAAAGGCAATTTCACACATGACTGTCATGTATGTTAAGATTTATTTTCAATATATATGCGGTTATAATTTCAATAGAATATGTCTCCGTAAGGTGTAAGCGTAGAACCTTGGTCAACAATATGAAGGAGACACAACATAGACGTTAGGAAAGGTTTGCAATATGGCTGTCTGTTCTTATAGGCCTATCATTAGGCAATTTTGACATAGTCTGAAGTGCATTATCAATTTGGATAAGTAACTTGCAGCTAATACAGCACTTCAAAGACACTCTTCCACACACATATGGACTCTTGCCGGTTGGCGACCTCTTTGCCATAGCTCACTCTCCTGGACATCAAACAAGCATATACGTGGAACATCGAGCAAAACAATAGGTGACCGGTACAGTACAAGAGTTACATTGTAGATTGAGTGAAATAATGGGTGGTTTTGATATGACTAAGATCAGTTATCTCTTTACACTGAACCATTATTTAATTCAAGAACCGATTTTGAAGGACAATCGGGTCCGCTTTCGAAATATCAAAAAACCACTGATTTTTCACAAGATCATACCGGCCACTGTATTGACCATAATGAGAAATCATCTATATGGCAAACATCAAAATTAATCAGTCTTATAGCTGTATAATCCTTTAATATTTTATGTGTACTATTTTTCTGTGTCATTGGCAACCTTATTTTTTAAGGCAGAGGTATTTGTTTTTATAAATACATTCTTTTCTCTTGCGAGCAATACAACCACTCAGCTACCCATCTATAGCAAACGGAAAACCCATATCCAAATTTTCCAACAGTGAAGCGCATGTGCGTGTGAACCCATAGAACGTCTTCATTCCGACTCCCGCTGACCTCAGGACCCGTGCCAATCTCTCATCAGCGAGGACCATGAAATAAAATTAGGCACGGGGCGAAAAAGCAGTGTTTTGGCTGTGGGCTGTTCAGTACAGATACGCTATGAGTATAGTGTCGGTGACTGCGTGAGGATAATTGTGCAACCTGCGTCGGCAGATGTCGAGATAAGGTACGCAACTCGTCCCACACGCGTGCGGTTCCCGTTAGCCGAGTAGGCGTGAGACTACAGCTTCATTTGGGCTGTGGTCAGCTGACATGCGTTTCAAACTTTGTTGCAAGAGCACATCTTACTTGCTCCTATGGTAATTAGAAGCCAAGTTGTTCTAGCCTCTACCGCCACGTTCTTGGGTCTTCTGCTACTGCTACGCCGAGCTTCCTCAGGTGTTCTTTTTCACATTTTAACATAATATAGTTGAATATATTTGAAGAAGAATATAAGCAAAGTTCAAATGTATTTATAAACGAATTCCTAGAGAAACTTAAGAATAAAGATGTCCCAACAATGAAGTCATCAAGTACAGGCTCCAGAGTGTCTCTGCAACATGCTTTTCTTTCTATGCTGGACCGCTGGACGTTCTTTCATTCGAGGACAACTTCTACGAAATCTACTCTACAGAAGAGTGCAGTTTACCATCACTCAGATCTATGTTTAGCATCACCTTCCTAATTATGGCGCTTGTATTTGCATTAAATACAAAAAGGGATGGGTTCCCGTTTCTTTTGTCGGCTAAACGCGCTAGAGAAGATGGCAAACCTTCTTTCGTTTGTTCGTTTGTTAAAAGTCGTCACGTCTACTTGAATATATCTGTAATCACGTTGCAAAGACGTTTTAAAAATCAACTCTCAACTAACAATTTAAATTTTTGTAAATTGTTTTCTCAAGAATCACAGGCTTCAACATAGGCATTGTTAACTAAGACATATTTCAAACAAACCATTAACTCCTCCTTGACAAAAATACAAAATGCAAAAAGTATAAAAGTACTTAATTGTTTTTACTTCAAATTCTGAAAATGACATCGTGAAATAATTGATTGAATCATTCGAAATTTTTAGTTTGAAATAACAAGCCAATAAAATTCGGAAATATTTTCACAGGCGATCCAGCTATAGCAATCAACACCTTGAAAACTTATGGGTTTTTGTGGTCTACAAATTTTTAACCTTCATTTCCACAACCTTCTTAGACGACCTTTTCCCAGCGACCCACCTACAACCATAGAGGATGTAAGAGGCTGTCGCGATAGTCTTTCTACGGGTCAGACTACTTTCCTGAATTGGCAAAACGTGAACTTGTTTTTAAATTGAACTCATTATCACATATTTACAAGTGTACGAAACAACAGGAATGCCGCTACGTTAGTTTACATAAGATAATGAGCCAGGCCGCGAAAGTCTCAGCTATGGCGTTGAAAGGCCTACTTTTATAGGCAATTCCATATAGGCCTACATTTCAAAAATTACTTCCTAGATTTCGTTGAAATTATTTTACAAAGTGTTATACGTTGGAGTTTATCACTCCAGACTCACGCCATTGGACTCGTCCGATCACGTTGTAGTAGTTAAGTGTACTGCCGTTTAACATGTACAATAAATGGCAGGAATGTTAAAATGAAGAGCAGCCAAATATATACTGTCTCTATGTTGAACTCGTTAAACAACAACATCTTACAATGAAAAGATTCTAAATTTGCTAAACGATTTTTTTTGTAGTACTTTAATATAAAATTAGATATGCAAATAGAAATTAATCATGCATACCGACAACATAGGCCGGTTTCTGGCAAAGTTAACGAATTAGGCAGTTACTAGTATGTATTTAAAGATTTTGAAATTCTTAGTTAATTGCAATATGCACTGCTACAGGTAATTTTAAAAACTGTTCACGTCCAAAACCTCATTGTTCCTTTTTGCTACCTTTTCGGTTGGGGGCGTGTTGAAGACACTATTTTTTATGAGGTGTAAATATCTTTCAATTTAGTTATATTAATTAATTTACTATATAATTTATAAAAAAAATATATTAGCCTATATAAAAAGAATTCACATGTTCGTTACTCTTTAAACTAAAATTAGTAACAACAAGTGTAAATGCAACTATTTTATTTTCATAAAATCGTCCAATCTATAGGAAAATTGTCTCCGAAGTCCATTCACATGATTTATAATAACAATTGAAACGCCATCATCGTGCTTCAATGAGAAAATTAGTCAAATGTATTGTGTGAATAATATACAGTTTAAGACTGTGTTGCAATTATTTGTTAAGTTTTTGTGTCATGTTTTGTGAGTGTAAACCAACGCACTGGCCTTCCATGCTCAACCCCCTAATTCAGTAGTTTCTACATAAAAAAGGCCACCACTCGAAAACCCTACTGTATACGAAACAGAACAAACCTCAGCACTGCACATCCCACCGTATTCAGAAACCCCCATGATTTTCCTGAAGGATTTATTCCGGAGGTAACCTCACGAAGTAACACGTTTAACCCTTGTCCAGTCGGTTACGTAAGGTAATTATCTCCTTATCTCCGGTGTCTTCACAGATTACCTCGGAGAATGCAAAGTCCACAATAACAGCAGCCATCAGATATTGTAATTGTCGTTAAGTGACCAGCTTTCCTCGTTACTGCTATCAGCTGATACATAGGCCACCGGCTTTCACTCACCCTTATTAAACAGCTGATACTGCCGGCCACGCGCGAACCGTCTCTAACGAGGGGTTCGATTTGATATCTTATGTTTATTTGCATCTATATTTTTGAATTGAACTTTATATGACACACATGCTTCGCAGCGCACGTTAGAAAGGCTGAGAGGGCTGCACAGGTCCAGTGCGCCTCAAGCAGTTACTAAACTTTTCGGTGTTTACATATTGTCTCCCTGCTTATGGAAACCGTATCTCTGGAGAAGACATGCACCAAATGCAAAAACTGCAAAATTCTGCAATTCGTTTCATTTTTTGGGCAACGATATTTGAACTTGTCTCTCTATTCAGAGCTGTAGCAGAGATGTCAACAGTAGACACTTTTTGCAGGACCATGACGTGCTGCATGGTGCACAAGGCTCTTGTCATACATGAACCACAGTACCTTCTTGAGAGGCTCTCTTTCCGGGAGGTCTCTCAGCGCAGTACCCGCCATGGAAGTCTCCAGCTTCACTTTCCAAGAGTGAGGCTTGGTTTTAGATGAAGAAGCCGAAGAAGCTTCTCGTACTTCGGCTTTAAGCTGTACAACGACCTCTCCTCCGGCCTAAAAATATGCTTTGCCAACTTTAAGAGACGAAATTAAAGAATTGTACACTGATGATTAGTTGTAATTTAGATTTACTCCTTACTGTTTTGTTATTGTTTCTATTAGTTGTTTGTTAGTTAAGTTATTGTTACTTATATAACGAGAGTTGTTCTGAAAAGTAGTTGTACTGAGAAACGCTTGATCAATAAAGGCATATCAATTTATTTACATTTCAAACTAATTGCAACCATTTTTAAGTCACTTATAACAATCTCATTATACTTATAACTGAGTTGAGTAAAACTATATTATACGAGAATGTTGAGAATCCATCCTCTATTCAGCAGACCTACTGACCTAGGCACGGACACGTCAGGGGATTTGAATCTAATGGAAGATACGAGTGCAGAAGGAGGATGATTCCTGTAAGGAGGTCCGCCATGCCACATACACTACATGGACGCCTGACTTGACTCTTAAGAGGACCAAGATGTTGACACTTTCTCTGCTAGTGGCAGTGTCACACTTTAACCCGTCGTAGGCGTATATATTAGGGAAATGAAACTTTGAGTAGCCACTGCACACAATGGGTTAGCCTACTTCGCACTCGTACGATTGCAGGATGTGTTTTGTGAAGGTAATTCGAAAGTACTGTATACCAGTATACTAAATTCCTAGAATTCAAAATTGGCCGATTTTTGTAATTGTTGGTTAATTGAATTTTGGGTTGATTATCTATAATGTATCGCAATATCGCATATTTATATTGGTGGGGGGGGGGGGATTTTATAGCGTCTTGGATCCAGTCTGTTTGAAAACTGATTTTGATATGTTTTGAAATATTTTTAATAGCTGTACATGAATCAAATGATCTGTAGTATATGATACAACACGTCATATAAGCATGAACCATCCATCAACACCGGTTTCAGAAATAGATATATCAGCTTAATTGTCAGAATAATGTTGGTTATTTTTCTGCCCGGTTTATGTAAAGTGTGTTTTATTGTTTACCACTTGTTTTATTTTTTATTTTGTTATCCATTAAACTGAACTAAACCCTCTAAAACAACTGATTTATCTTTGGGATTATCACTAAAATGTTACCACAAACCATATAATCGGTCCCAGAATAGTATGAGAACCATTAAGTGGTCAATAGTGCTCCCTGACGTTACTAAGATTAAACCCCCATCAAAATTTTACATTTTACAAAAGGATTAAAAGCGTACCACTGTATACATGAACTACTTAAGTCACTTACACTTACACACATTAATTTACAGGTAAGGTATCAATCACATCTAAAACCTGATCCGATCTCACGTGCAGTACGAAGAATGCATTGCATAACAAAACCTCCTCTGGCTATGAGATTATCATGCGTTCATGCAGCTCTAATAAATTCAAAATATCTCACTTGGCCCGGACCCGGTTACATAAGGCAATGATACTCCCCAGAGAGGCGTATCCACAATACGGACAATCGTATTTCAATTGAGACTTTCTCTGGGTGAATAGAACACTTGGTATTAGCATTTTCGTATTGTTAAAATAAAAAGTGTTTTATTTGCTCCGGGGAAAGTTATTGTTTGAGTGTTCACGCCTATTGAAATATAGGATCAAATGGAAGGTCGCATTGTGGAATTTATTAATTGAATGATATAAGGTAACACGACCATGCTTGGCTGTGAAATGTGTTATAGGTTTAATTGTTTTAAACATAGGAGATGTATTTATTTAACAATACACATTATTTGCAAATTTACTTGATTATTTTTGAAAGCAAATTACACAAAACTAATTCAGGGAAACGTGCGATAATATTATTACTTATAACAACCAACGAGGTCGTGTTTAGTTTCTTCTCTACTAAATACTTTCTTTACATCATTTAGTACGTTATTTATACGATACGAACAGTGGAAAAACGCTTGAAAATACTTTCACCTAATCCAAAGCCGTCCTTTTTTACCAACGGACACTTGCTATTAGTGCACAACGCGGCGAGTAGGTAAATTGCCTGCTGCATTGTTGAACATTTTAAGCTTAACTGACCATAAAATTAATTATTATGAGAAATGGCCTGATAAAATTATTACTTACTAAGTTCTAACACCAAAAGTGGATCCATGAATTACCTGAAAAACGATGCAATGTTATCAATGATAGTCAATTATTGTTTGAATATTAATAAAACAATATTTAGACCTAACTTATAAATAAACTATAATATAATAAGTCAATTATAATTTATAATCAACAAAAATAAATTATAATAAACAAAAATAGTCTCTACTAACAACAAATGTATAACAGATTTAATACACATCCAACCCATATATAAATCCCAAAGTACTCATGCACTTTTGAGAAGACTACAAGTCACAACCCCATAAACTATATACTTAAAATGTTCGTCATGACCTTGCGCAAACTATCCATTATTTCATAAATTGCCCATTGAGGTCGTAATTCCTTTCTAAAGGGAACTTTCCATATACCTAATGTTAAAAATACTTCAGGTGTACGTGTTTGTTTGTATTACTGTTCTTTTATCTGTTTCTTAACCAATCGAGAGTTTTAATAATACTTATGAAGTCAAACGGGGTGAAGCCCGTGGGAACCAAATAGTTAAAATAAATTTAAAAACTATTAAAACTTTCCAATTAGTAATTTTATATAAACAATGCACGTTAGTAATGGCCGGTGAAGTAAGCTTTATAGCATAACAAGTAACGGCAGAAAATTAACAAGAAATGTTCAGCCTTCTGACTATTCTATTCCAGCAGCAATAACAGTCGTATTCGTTCAGATAAACATGACATATCGGGCGAGTTTCGAGGCCCTCGGGGCCCAACGTAACATAATTGGGCTTTTATCCTCTTTTGCATCTCTGGGGAAATCTTGCATCTTTTCGGGGATTAATGTTTCATTTAATAAAACCTTAAGTTACCTAGATGGTTTTAACTGTCGGTTACTTTTTGGTCTGGTAAAATATATGTAACGGTATGTGTAACCGTACGTAACGCAACGGTTTTTATACAGTATAATTCTTTGATATTATTCACCATAGAAAACATTTATCTGTATCTACAAGTGGTGATTTCTATGAAATATAGATCGTCTAATAATCAATTATGTTGGACAAACTTGAACATCAAATTTGTTTCTAGTAATAAGAACTGTTATTAATAAACTAATAATGAGTACATGTATGTAATTTTTATGCAGGGAAAGGCCTATTGCCAAAAATTGTGAAACTACACAGTCAGAATCTTCAGGATCTTTTTAAATTCTAATTTCCAATACCAACGCACATTCTTTAATTTTGCTAAAAAGCCATAGATTAAACACACACATACTCCATCAATTCTTCCGTGTATTTATATGGATCACCTGAAAACTAAATAAATTGAGTCACTGCTCAATTTAGTGCTGTTGTTAAGATTATGATATGATTCTGTTGTTGTGTCTGTATGTGTCTGTTGTTGTTGTTGTGTCTGCTGTGATGTTGAAATTTATTTCTGGTGATTTCATTAGCCTAAAAGCCAATTTCCTCAAAAACAAACATTATTATTGTCCTGTGGTATGAACACGCGTAGTCAAGTTTAAGGATAACTAGAAGTCGAAAAAAATCTACCAAAAATATGTAATGCACAGACTCTATATTTTCACCCTACGCTGTAAATAAAACATATGATTGGAATTTCTTAAATTTTTTTTTATTTTCTGTTTATGTTATGTTGTGATTTCGTCACGAGCATTGCAACCCATAAGGCCCATGTTAATTTATTTTTAACTTTAAATTAATTTTGTGTTCTTATTTTTGTGATTTTTTAATTTATTAAGGTATTCTGCACATCTACATGAAAATATCCTTCTAACAGTATGTGTAGATTTTCCCTGCGAGGAACACGACCTGAGAAAAAAGGTTTTAAAGAAACATGCTTGCCTATTAATATATAGATACTACGAAATGCACCATATCAAAAAAGCCTTAGTCAACATCAGCGCACTCAAACCTAACAGAAAGTAAAACTAGGGCGAATAAAGGTCAATATTTTAAAATCAAAAAGTCTACTTGCAACATCCCAGGATGATGGCGTAACGTAGTCTATTTACATGATACGAAAGGAATCAAATCCTACAGAAAAGAATGAATTTTAAAGGATCGATTCGTATAGCAGTAGAAGCACATTATCCTGAGCGAGATTAACTGGCCTTGTACCAAACATCAGTCTTGACCGTAACCTTACTCTGGCAACCTTTGATGTGAAGTGGTGAAAGTAGTAACATTGACTGTGTACTGTGTAGCAACAATGTACTGTACATACTCACTGTCATACAGCCATATGGGACTTGCTTGTCATACTCTGTGGTGTGAAATCAATGTTCTCTAATAAATTGTATCATTGACTTTAAATTCTTAAGTAGATACAATTTATATGCTCCAGGTATAGTCATTAATTAAATAGAGCATTGTTCAAAAGGGTTCAATGAGCATTTCATATCTTTGATTTGGATGGGCACAAAAAGATCTTCATTTAACAGATTGTGCTTTGAGTTTTGCATTATTAAATATTTTTGGTTTGAATTGGAAAATGCTATTTTTCAGCACACATTTTGTCGGTAACACGATTAAACTGTTACCTGTTATTTAAAATTTGACTAAAACTACGGGAATAGGAATTTACCGCGTATACTAATTCTACGAATAATGCGAAACATTGCTTATTTTCATAGCAGATGTTCAGATATTCATTTTTTAACAGATGTTTAGTTGACCTGTGAAAATTATACATCACTATTTAAACAGAACTCCTGACATATTCATTTGTATTTTTGTATTGATTTGGAAAAACCGTGCGTGGCTTATTGCACTGTATCTTCTGCAGATGACTGTTGGAACACTAATATCGTAGAATGTACAATTAGACAATTTCGAGAATTTTTAACAAGATTTCAGCATACCTTTACTATTGTTAGTTTTTACAACATTGCTTTTACTTTTTGAT